TTAGTCCTCACAGCCAGAGCTTCCAGGGGCCCTGTGGATGCCAGCCCCAGGCAGGGTACAGGGAATAATCTTACTGGATGGGGACCCAGGAGGCCCTGTCCCCATTTATTATTCAGCTCAGCTTTTCACGAATGACAACCACCGTAGAAGCAGCACGTGGAGCAGGAGATTTTCAAGTCAAATAATAATAAAAACAGCAACAACCACAGCTGACACTGAGAAAGCACTTACTCCCGGCCTGGCGCCTTCTGTGCCAGCACTCACTCCTCCCAGAGGAAGATGCTATAATTAGCAGACCTAGTAACTGAGCTCAGAGAGGGGCAGTCACTCCCACAGAGCCACACAGCAAGCCGGAGGAGCCAGGATTGGAACTCAGTTCCCAGAACCTGTGCCCCAACCCTTGCAATCCACTGGCTCCAGCAGGCCTGGGGGCACACATTAAATGGCCCAGCTGGAAGTTGCCCCTCAGTAAAATGGGCATAGAGAGGGCTGCTCTGCTAAGCTCCCTAATGGCTGAAGACAAAAACAGGGAGCGGCCACCCATCACCCAGCAGGCTTGGGCAGACAGTGGGTCTGGTCATCCTCATGGAGCTTCAGGAACAAGGAAGGGCTCAGGGTAAGGAGGGCTCAGTGGAGTGCCTCAGTGGTCACAGCGACAAGGGCCCCCATGCCCAGGCCTCCAGTGCTGCCCACCTTGATTGCCTGTCTCGGCCCCCGCAAGTCAGGCTCAGGGAAGTCGGACCAGACTCTCGAGCCAAGAAGTCAGATGCGCATGCGCAGACGTGTTGCGTGCGAGCCCCTCTTGCCCCTGAACCATCGCACAAAGGCTCAGGTTCCGTGTTCACCAATCCCATCCCCTGCCAGCCTGGCACCTGTTGGCACGGCCAGTGGTGAGGAGCCTCAGCGCTCATGGCAGGGGCTGCAGCATAGATGCGCGGGCAAAGCAGGCATCTGTGTGTGCTGGCTCAGGGCTGGGCCCTCGAGGATGCCACGACGCTCAGTCCAGCTGCTCCCATCTGTCCGCAGTGCTGGGGCCTTGTCATCTGTCCCTCCATCAGGAAAGAAAAGATGGCTACAAGCTACACTTGTCACTATCTCAGAGAGGGCCGGAGACTCATGCTAAGCTGCACAGCTCCTCAGGGTGGGGCACACGCCAGATTTCCTGTGAGCAGCTGCTACTGAAGAGACACCCTGGGTGGGTGGGGGGGGCAGTGTGTCTAAGGCACCCAAAAGTGAAACAGGGCAGAAACCAGGAAGTAGGAAGAGTAGCTGAGAGGTGGCCAGTCCCCCCGCCCCTCCCCCCCCCCACTAAAAATCCTCTTGCCTGGAGGCCTGGTAAGCCCCCACCGCTGGGTTGGGGGGGGGGGGGACAGTGGCAATGCTAGGTAAGGCACAGAACCCACAATGCCCCCCTTCCCTGAGTATGGCCAGGCGCACAGTAGGCCCTCACGCCCCTCCCACACTCACTGCAGAAAGTACAGCAGAGAGAGCCAGGCCAGGCTGGTCCTTAGCGGGCCCCAAAGCTGGTGGTGGGCAGGAAGCACCCACTCGCATGTTATGCAGGCAGAGCAGGTGACATGACCGTGAACTCCAGACCTGGGGTTTCCATGCCACTGCCCTTTGGCTGAGGGGAAGGGCTCAGAAGAGGTCATGGACGAATCTGGAGGCAGGGCCTGAGGCGCCAGCGGACAGGGCATGGTAGGCTGGGCCAGCGGGCAGACAGCAGAGCGGCCAGGGCCCCCACAGAACCCTCCTCAACCCCTCTCCCTTCCACTGCCCGCTTCTCAGGGATCCCACACTGCCCAGCTCACCCCACACCCGTCTCACTCCCCCCACACACAGGCCGGCCTCCAATGCCAGGGCCAAGGACAGCAACCCCTGAACTGGGCAGCCCTGGCAAAAGAAAACACGCGGGCAGAGGCTGGTCACCCTAGGGGACCCGCGTAGACAGGCAGGACGTGGAGCGCTGTTACTCCTCCCCAGGGGACACCACCACCCTGGCCACCTCACTCTTCACTTTCTCCCCACCTAGCAAAGCGGCAACCTCTGCACCCCAGATGTCAACCTTCTGAGGCCGGGTCGCACCAAGCCAGGTAAGGAACGGCAGGAGCCAGGACAATTAGTAGGCACCTGGGAGGGGGGCGGATAGAGAACTGCAGAGGAAGAAGGGGAGGGGGACGGGGAGGCGAGGGAGAAGAGGGGGGGAGCCAGGCGAGAGAAGAGAGGGGTAGGAGGGTAAAGTGGAGGGGGTGGAGGAGGAGCGGGAGCCAGAAGAAAGCAGGGGAGGGGCGGGGCGGGGCGGGCGGGGGAGGGGCGCCCGGCAATCACCGCAACATCAAAGCCTTCCCAGCCGCAGAGCGCGGTCACGTGCGGCCTCGTTCCTTTGGTTCCTTCGCTGGGAGAAGCCGCTGGGCCTGGGGCTGCTGAAGGAATTTTAAAACGAGGCAGATTGTCTAGAATATTGGGGGGTTGGGGGAGAATGCAGTTTTATCTCCAGGCGTAGAGTGGGGAGGTGGTTCAGAAACCTGTCCCCCAGGCGGGGTGGAAAGTATTAGGGGACCGAAGGGCCCAGCTCAGGGGCCAGGCGGGGGGGGGGGGGGGGCAAAGGAGACCACCCAGCTTCTTCTGGTGCTGGCTGGGCTGGCTCTTTTATCAAGAGAAGCCGGAAATCTGGGTTTTTATGAGAAAGGCTTCCTCATTTTAATATTCACTCAAGTTTTAAAAGAAAAAATGAGCCAAACAGCCTCAGGACCTCAGCCAGGTTGTGGCTTCTCATGGGGTCCACTGATTTTCACAGACTGGGACACTGAGGCCCAGAGAGGGCAAGGAGCTTGCCCAAGGTCACAGAGTGGGCAATCCATGGCCAAGCCCAGAACCTGGCATCAGGATTCCCAGGTCCAGCAGCCAGGCTGATCAGACATGCCAGGAGCCGCAGGGCAGGGCTTTGGCTGTGGAGGAATGGGAAGTGTGGGGTCTTAGTGACAAGTGAGGTCTCAAAAAGCCGCTGCCCTGGACACACCCACCCCTCACATTCCACTCTGACCCTGCTATGCCCTGGTGGCCTCTGCTCTGGCCGCAATGCAGCCTGCTGTGTGCCTTCAGCATCAGGCGAGGAGGGGGACCACACAGGGCCTCTGTAGAGGGGGCAGCTGCTGCTGTGGGGTGGTGGCAGGGGGTCTCCTCCAAAGCAGAAGAGGAAGTATAGGCATCGAGCACATCTGCCTTCCCCAGGGTGGGGTGCAAGTGTCTGCTGGCAGCCAGAGGCAAGGCTCTGTAGGAGCCTCAAAAGCCAGCTTCTGCCACTTGAGATGTTCATGGAGGGATCTGGGGAGCCCTAGGAGGTGAGCAGGAGAGAGGGTAGCTCAGGTGTTCACCAGGGGGGAATTGGGAAGGAAGCTGGCAGTGTGGAACACCGTCAGCAAATACTGAGTATGACTGTGCCAGGCCACAGGGAGACAGGTGAGCAGGACAGGAAGTGGCCACCCTCACGTGGCAGGGGGAGCAGAGGTGACCATCGCACCCCCACCAGCGACATAGGGAGAGGAAGTGCCATGGGGCGCCTGGAGGGCTATTCCCAGAGCAGGGACTGTGTACAGCTGTGCAGGGGCAAGAGGCAGGGTCCACACCGGGGGTACCACAGCTTCTAGACTAGAGCTCATAGGTGACACAGACCTCTGCGGGGCAGGAATAGGAAACCCAGTGCTTGGGGTCTGGACATGGTTGCACCCCTCAGTTCTCTAGGGCTGCAGAGGCCTGGCCCTCCCCTTGGGTGCTGTTTCCTGTGGCAGGCTTGTTCTGGTCAAGGAAGCATGTTCGGTCCGCACACCCTCAGCCAGGCAGCCACACAGGCTGGCACATGCAGCACTCAGGGCTGGAACACAGTGGCTGCACAATCTCTATAAGTCCTTCAGCCTGAGCCCAGGGCCAGGCGCCCTTGTGGAGGGCACAGAAGCCTATGTTGGTCTAGCTGTGACACTGGAGTTAACATGGGGGCAGCTAGAGGGATGGCAGGGAAGGGGCTGTGCTCAGGAGAGGGCACTGTGCACTGAACAGGACCTAGAAACTATTAACAGTACTGTCAGGTGTCACCAGCCCATTTTCCAGATGGGGAAATTGAGGCTGGGGTTCCAGGGCAGGCAGAACCAACAACAGACGGCACTACAGCACTTTGGCCAGTGGTGACTGAAACCGGGGGCCTATGAAAGGGATGAGAATGAGACAGAGCAGGTGGCCTTCTTTCTTGACCCTGTCCAGGGACAGCAGAAGGTGCAGGCGCAGGGTGTAGAGGTGAAAGCATGGGCACTTCTGTTCTCCCTCGGTGTCTTGTCCTGGGGAGGCTGTTTGGAGGGGAGCGGGGAGACGTTCCAAGTGGACCTCTAGCCTTTGTGGGCTCACCCCCCACACCGCACAGGAAGGCCACCAAGCCCTCTTATGGACGGAGGAACCGAGACCAGGAGAGGAGGCCGGTGGCAGAGACACGAACTGGGCCCTCTCCTTCCAAACCCTTAATGGGTGGGATCCCAGTGTCTCTCGTGGAGAGCGGGTCAGGGAGGAGGAAAGACGGTGGCCTTGGCCACGGCCCTGCCCCTGTACTGATGGGCCCCACCAGCGCCTTCACACGGCTGTGTGCCACTTGCCGGGTTGGGGGCAACTTTAGGCTGGGACCATGTCTGGCTCCACCCAGCCCCGGCCCTGACACCCAGTTGGGTTTAAGACACTGGGGTGAATTATGCACAGAAATGACGGCCACAGCCACCCTCTGTAATGCAGGGTGTGACTTAAACCCCCGCCCTCACCCTGTAAACTGGGGTTATTCCCACGATGTCCCAAGAGCAAAGCTGAGGCCAGAGCAGCCCAGCCCCTGGCCCCGGCACACTCAGAAACAGCACGTCTAGCTAGCAACAGTGTTGGTCAGGCAGGGCCACAAGCCAGCACTGGGCAGCGCTGCTTCTGCTTGCTTGCACGTGCCCTGTGGGTAGCTATTACCATGTCCCCACTTTCCAGGCCAGGGCATGGATGCTCAGAGGAGGTCAGCGATTTGCCTGATGGGCACAGGGCTGCGAATCCACTCCAGGCCGTCTGGCCCCACTTCCAGTCACTGCTCAGCTCGGTGTGCCAGCCAGGTGAGGGAGGGGAAGCCCGCGTGGCACCAGGCTGCTCCTGGCAAGCTGTGCCCTTTCCACACTCACCCAGGGGACCCTGGCGGGTGAGAGATGGGTCTGCGGGTGAGAGGCATGCACAACCTGGACAGGGTTCAAGCCAAAGCAGGCAGGAAGAAGGGAAGGGGAGGGAGGGGGAGGAAAGGGGAGGAAGGGAGGAGAAGGGGGAGAAGAGAAATGGTGGGGAGGAACCAGGAAAAGAAAAGAAGGCGGCAAGGAGGAAGGGGGGAGGGCGAAGGGGCAAGGAGAGGGTGGCTCCTCTCCCAGGTGCCTGGCAGACCACAGCCCGTCCAGCTGGGGCCGAGGCTGCGGCCCCTGCCTATGCCAGGAAGGTCTGCCCGTCCCTCCGCTACAAGAACATCAAAGTTGGTTCTCAGCCAGCCCAAAGGTAGCATCCTTTGAGGTTTGGCGGTGATGGGGCCATATTTCAGGCTGATGCGAAGCAGGCTGCGCCCCACCCCCTCCCGCCCGCCGGAGATCCCCATCCAGGCTGTCTACTTAATACCCCATTACTGGAGAAAATATACAGCCAGCTCCCGCCGGCCTCAGCTGCCCATTCCTCAGCACAGATCAAAGCTGCGCTAGATTCCCGCCTAGAAGCTCTGTAAACAGACTGCAGACTTGGGGAGAAAGCAGGTAGGGACGGGGTGTGGGGGCATCTGGGTTCTTGGGGGTCTCTGTTAGGAGGGAGAGGGCCCTGGGCTTGAGGGAAGGCCCACATCTTGGCATGCACACCTGAACCTGGGTCCCAAGGCACCAGCTCTGTCCACCCCTGCCCTAGCCCAAAGGACTCCCCAACTCGGCAAAAGGACCAGGCACCTCATTCACAAAGCCTGCCAGCCTCTGCACCACCCACGTACCTCTTGACCATCACGGGGGTTATGACTGTCCTGACTTACACCTACAGGAAGGTGGGCAGAACCATCTTATTTCATAGCTGGGGAAACTGAGGCATGTGGCGCTAAGTGAGGAGCTCTGGGTTTGGGCTGCTTGCTGTCTGCTCCTCCAGACTGAGTGCTTGGTTTGCATGGGGCTGGGAGCCTGCTTTGTGGGTGGTCTTGGGGGGATGTGAACCAGGTGTAGTCTCTCCAAGGGAGGCTGACAGCCACATCCAGCACAGCACAGCGACAGGGTCCCTCTTCTAGGCTGACTGCAGTGCCCAGAACCCCAGCTTAACCCAGTCCTGTGTGCTACCAACGGCCCTGTGCCCTGGGGTCTGTTTGTCTCCACAGGCTGTGCTCTTTCCAAGGCAGGAAGCAGATTTTGAGAGGGTCAAGGTTCCCTAGAGGAGGCACAGCCTGGGGAGAGATCCGGATACACAGCAGACTCTCTACCTGGCCACCCGTGGGACAGGGACAGCAAGAACTGTGCTGAAACTACCGGATGCCCATGCCGTCCCAAGCTCTGGACATAACCCACGCAAAACTCAGCCTTGCCCTCCAGTGCCGTCTCCTGGTCCCCAAGGCTGCTGGTGAGTTAGTCAAGAACTGGTCCAGTTCTCTAATTCATACTAGGCAGCAACTACGCCGGTTTGATGCAGACATCCACCTCCCTTCTCCCCCACCCAGGAGAACGGCACCGTCGCCCATCTGAGGACAGCGTCCCTTGGCCCCCACCCCACCATCCTTCCCTGTCCTCCTGTGTCCCCTTCCTGCTACACTCCCCACACTGACCACCCATCATTCTCTAAACGGCACATCTGATCAGGTGGTTCCACTCCCAGGGGAGACTCCAGACACCTGGCACACCCCCTAAGTCCACCTCCTGAGGGGCTGCTTAGCCACCAGCTGCGGATAAGTGGACAGATGATGCTTCCTGTTCCGCAGCATGTGCATCCCACAGTGGGGACTTCCTCCCTCCCGTGTCCCATCCATCCTTGCATGCACCTGTCTGTATACCCCTGGCCTGCCCAGCAGGGCCCCCCTAGCTGGGTCATCACCCAGCCCCACCTCCCTGGGGCCACCTCTCCCCTAGCCCTCTACCTGGGAGCCAGGAAGAGCCCTCGGGAGGGACCCACTGCCCGGGAGCCCATGCAGCAGGCATGGGGTGCAGAGGGCAGGGGTCCCCTTCGCGTTCCACCCAAAGGGACCCTGACAGGTCCCCATCTTTACTTTCTCCCACTAGGGATGAAGCAGCAAGCACAGGGCGAACCAAGCAATTTCCCACACCCAGTGGGGCTCGGCAAGCCAATCTGAACACAGAATAAAACTCTGGCCTCCGTGAGGGGGCACCGCAAACAGCGTGAGCGCAGCGGTTGCCACCACCACCCTCTGCCCTCCACCCCCTACCCCAGGCAGGGAGCACGGCTGGCCAGAGATGCTGCGCTCGGCTGCCAATTCCCCGGCTCAGCAGAAAGCCTCCATTTTGCAGGGAGAAATTAATGAAAGGGAGAAGCCTGGGAAATTACGAGTTGCCACCTGCAATTTCTCCTTCCAAGGAAAGTGGAGCGATGGCTGATTAAAGCTGCAGCCGCCCTGCCAGGCTGGGCCAGCAGCTGAGGCTGTCAGCCTGCTGGGAGGCAGGTGGGAGGCGATGGGGAGACTCCTGGGGACCCAGGCTAGGCAGCCCCGCCCAGCAAACTCTAAGGCAGGGTTGGTGGGGGCAGCCTCCAACTGAGAGAAGCGTCCTTACCCGGCCATTGCCACTCCTCAGCAGGCGGCTGGGGCTTCCGTGGTGAGCCACGGAACCCCAGAGAGTACAAGGCACTGGATGCACCTCAGCCTGGTCCTGCAGGGGCTGGGGAGAATTAGGGAAATGGCCCTGAGGAGCTTCCTCCATGCCTGGAGCTGCGCCCATCACCACCACTGTGGCCACCAACTGAGCAGGAAACAGACTCGGGAGACCCCTCACTCAAGACCAGACCACAGCACCGCTGAGACCGAGCACTGCCCCGAGTCACCTAGGGGCACTGTGAGCTGAGGGAGGACAGCCACTGGGGAGGACCACACAGTGGTTATGACTGGCAGCACACAGCTGCTGCATCCCAGCCGTCCTCCTCCCCCTGCATGATGAGGGCAGAACTCGCTCTGGTCTCCACCTGAGCCTCCCTCTCCTGCTCCAGCCAAGTTCCACTATTCCCAGCCTTTTGTCTGTCCTCAGGAAAGTCAGAGGACACCTGCGGAAGGCAACAGGACACTGTTCTGGGTTCCTCTATCCCACCTATTCTGCCTGGAGCAAGATTGTTCCTCCCTTTCAATAGTTTGGGAAGTTGTAGTTCCCTCTGATTCTGACTAGGGTGTGAGTGGATGCCATCAGACCTCTTCTCGGGTTTGTGGATCTGCAGCACCAGACTTCAATTCTCAGATGTGAAGATGGTGTTTCATATGGGTGAGGAGCGGAGGAATGGCCCCACTGGGACAGGCAGCCATCAGCTCCAGTCCCTGACACCCAGCATCAGGCAGAGAATGCAACCACTCCTGCAGGCAAGCTTGCCTCCTGTGCAACCTCACACGACGACGTTAACTGCACACCGTTGTGGGAGCCTCACGGCCTCTCTGAGCCTTAGCTTTCTCACACTGTTCCCCATGCATCTGTGAGACCCAGGGGAGTTCCCTGGCTCCGTGGATAGCTGGGATGCAGCTGGCAGTGGATCCTCCAGCCACCGCCATATCCCCGCTCGGCGGCCCTGGCTGTATATTATTATAATGGCCTCGGCCAATAGGGGCGCAGGCTATTAGAATGAGTTAAGACCAGATTAATCTGCTTAAAAAAATATGCCTGGTTTTTATGCTGTGCATTCCCTCCTAACAACTCAGGCTCCTTCCAGGCCATTATCTCATTTTACCGTTAATTCAATTCCATAAACATGTATTAAGTGTCTATTATGTGCAGAGCCCTGGTCTGGTGGCCTGGTGGGGTGAGGGGCCATGGCAGGGGGCAGACCCAGCCCACAAGGTGCTGACAACCATGCAGAGGACCACTGACCCCAGCCCCATGCCACCAGGCCATGAGGCAGGAGAGTGACGCCCACTGCCTGGAGCCGGCCAGGGATGGTGGAGGAAGGCAGAACACCTGGTACAGACGAGGGCCCCCTGCATGCCACCCCCATCCCACATGTAGGCACGCAGCCCTTCCGACCACCGAGTCCTACAGCGGAAGGTATGGGGCTCACAGCGGGGGGTTCCAGGTCCCCGGGCACCCTAGGTGAAGCCTTAGAGTGCAACGGCTTGCGCTTCCGCTTCTAGTGACCCAGGGCCCAGAAAGGTGCCTGGAGCAGCGGTACAGGTAGCCACGGCTGGCAATGAAGGGATGGATGCTGAGCCTCTCCCCGCTTCGGAACTGAGCTTGGTCCTTCCGAGGGGCCTTGGAGGATGACTGATTTTGGTGAGCAGCAATGAGGTGTGGAGTAGGGAGGAGGGCACTTCCCTGGGGAAGCAGGACCACAGACTCAGCCAAACAATGGTCCGAATCCCGGACCACTTCACTGGTCGGATGGCAGTGCACTGCTACTCCATTTCTCTGGGCCTCAGTTTCCACCTCTGCAGACCTGAGGTGGGAGGGCTAACAGCTGCCTGGAGGACAGCGGTAAGGATAACATGGCCAGGCCTGCCCACTGTGCCTGCCAGTATTTGCTGACAGCAGTGAACAGCACTGAGCACCTGGAGAGGTGACCAAGGCTTGAGCCAGGTGTCAGGTGGACAGGACACATGGGCAGAGCCAGCTGGCCCAGACCCCTGCTGAGCAGACCATGTGAGAAGCATGGACGGTGGCCACAGAAAGGGAGCCTGGAGCCGGCCAGGGGACAGAAGACAGGGGCAGGAGCTCCTCATGCAGATGTGGAGATAAGAGCAACCCACGGTCCCCACGGGCCACTGGGACATCAGTCTCATGTTCATCCCCAGCAAATGCTCCCCAGGGCTGCTGCCCGGGACAAATACCAGCGGCCATCAGCTGCCCCATCAGCAATCAGGGACCCTGCTAAGGGAACAAGATTGAGGCTCAACAAGCAGAAACGAACTCCAGAATCTGAAGCTATCAGAACCCAAAGCCCACGGTGACCACAGGGCAGGGCCACGGCAACGGAGCAGGTGCTGGGGAAGCTCTGCTCATCCCCCAGCCTGTGGGCTCCACAGCCCCTCCCCCACCCATATCACACACTCCTCCACCTGCACCCCACACCCACACAGTGCCAAGGCCAGCAGTGCACTTCTGCCCCCCTCTTTCACTGGAGAACCCAGCTGCTTCCTTCCAACCTCAGATCCCACCAGTTCTTTGAAACCCTCTCAGTAACCCCGTCCACAGGCATGGGGCTAGGCTTCCCCAAACCCCCACAGCCTTTCCCACACACCCAGTGGAGGCAGAGGGCCAGGGAGGGAGGCGGTGGCTTTGAATTCAAATCCAGCTCTCTAGGAACTGTTGCAAGCCCTGCTGTCCCATCCTTGGCTTTAAAACGGTGACACCTGGGTCCCGATGAGCATGGAGGAAGTGAAGCCAAGAGCATCACCTTCCTCATCACCTGCACCATGTGGGGGCCGTCCACGGGGCTGACCCGACCCTGGACCAGTTTCCACCCTGCCAGTCCTGTCTCCTCCATGCCCTGCACACAGCCCAGTGCCCAGCAGCTGCTGAATCACAGGGCAAAAAACCACCCCTGCCTGAAGCAGTCAAGGAGGCTTCACAGGAAAGCTGGCATCTATTCAGGCTCTGAAGGATGCCTAGAAGTTCACCAAGGAAAAGCAAATGCTAGGCAGCAGAAGTTGGTTCTGTGGAACCCTGCAGGCTTTGAATGCCACACAGAGCCTGTCAGGCCAGGAGCAGCAGAAAGTGAGTTTTTAATTACCGCGCGCGGTGAGAGTCAGGGGCTATTCACGCAGCAATCATTTGAGGGCTTACTATGCGCCAGGTACTCAGGATGGGGTGGGCAACAGGATGAGTGGCTCCTGGGCCCTGCAGCCTGTGCTCCAGTCCCACTGTGGGACAGACAGTAACAGAACCTTGCAAGTAACTCCTGCTTCTCAGGGCTGAGCAGAAGCCCACGATGCTGAGTCCCCGGATGGTGGTGGCAGCCCAGCCAGGTGTGCATGTGAGCTCCAAGGAAGCCATGTCTCAGCAGCCCTCAGGGACGGGACACGGCAAGAACATTTAGGGCAGGGTGCTAACAAGGGTGGCTTGAGGAAGCACGCAGCAGTCTGAGGCCTGGAAGGTGATGGAGAGGATGGGTGGCAGCGGAAGAGGGAAGGGACAGGGCCTGGAGCCAAGGTGACAGTTTGCATTTTCTCTCCAGCAATGAGAGGCCGGGTCAGGACCCCCAACTGGAAGGCTGCCAGGTGCTGGTCACCCTGCACATACCAAGCAGTCTGACAGGTGGCTCTGTGGTTTCCTGAGACCCCTCTGGGAGCGCGGAAGGGCAACACAGCTGCCCACACGGCCGCCAGCCTCCTTCTGCTCAAGCCCAGCAGAACAGCCGCAGGCAGACTGATGGTGCTCGGGCTCGATCTGTTGCGAGTTTAGCTCAGCTCCGGGCTGTGTCTTGGTGACACCGGCTCATCCATACCCAAGAAAATATGGCCTGGAGGAGACCAATTAGGTGCTCCACAGCTGGCCAAGGGCTGGCCAGCGCAGGTTAGACACAGACCGCAGGCCTGGCCAGCTGGGCACGGAGTTCCAGGCCACTGAGCTGCTGTTACCCCCACAACAGCAGCCTCTAGCGGAACCCTGGCAGGGCTGGTGATGCCTGCAGCTGTCAGCAAGGCAGGGAAACCTGAAGGCTTCACCTCGTGGTACCCTCCCCAGGCCAGATGCCTCCCAGCCTGCCCTGGAGTATGCTGTGATAGGCAAGCTCCATGCCTCAGTTTCCTCACCGGTGAAATGAAGCAACCACACAGACCACAATCCTGGCCCTGTCCCCTCCCCTGAGAAACAGCCGTGGTGATACCAAGGGCAGTAGCAGCTCAATGCCAGCACCCCGTAGGCACACACAACCTGCCGCTTGTCCTCCCGATTCTGCCTGTCTTCCTTCTCCACAAACCCCTGCAAGCCAGCCTTGGTTCCCCAGGAAGTTTCCTTCCGTAGCCAGGTGTGATGCTGTACACCCACAGTGCACTCAGGAGGCTAAGGCAGGAGGACTGTCACAAATTCAAGGCCAGGGGCTGGAGATTTAGCTCAGTGGCGTAAGCACCTGCCTTGCAAGTGTACGGTCGTGAGTTCGATCCCTGGTACCGATAAAAACAAAAAAAAAAAAAAAAAAGACAAAAAACAAATTCAAGGCCAGCTGGAGCTCCATAGCAAGGCACTGTCTCAAAAAAGGGGATCTCCTTCTGGAAGGAGGTCCCAAGATGCCAAGGGTTTGCATTTTAGCAGAACCTGGACAGGACAATAGAAACAAGTCACTAATGGTAAAATCTGCCAGGAGGCAATAGGAAGAAGCAGTGAGGAAAGGCTCCTCCTAGACTTTCACATCACCTGTGGGGGTAAGCAGTGCTGTAAGTTGGATCCCAAATATCCCTCGGAGGCCTGGGTCCCTGCGTGATGCTACTGGGAAGCAATGGAAACTCTGAGGAAGAGCTTAGCAAGCAGTCTTCAGGCCACTGAGGGCCTCCCAGAGAGATCAGGGGACGCTGGACTCCCTTTTGCTCTCTGCTCCCCGGCCTGCCATGAGGGACTTTCCTGTCACCACTCCTACCAAAATGGGCTGCCTCACCACAGTCCCAAAGGCAAGGGGGCCAGCCAACCCCAGACTGGAGCCTCCAAATCTTTTCTCTTTAGAAGTTGGTTATGTCTGGTCTTTGTTACTATGGCATAAAGCCAACTGCCCAAGCAGCAGGTGTAGGGTGTATATAACCGGCTAGCAGGAGTCTCGGAAGGAGGGACTCCTGCATGCCCCAAGTATGCCGAGTGAATGGATGGAGAGCACTGAGGGCATCAGAAACTCAAGGACTCTAATGCTGGTCACCAGCCACCTCCCTGGCACCTGGGAAGCTCACACAGCCATGGTCACACCTGCTCTAAGCCACCCGTGATGAGCACAGAATCCTTACAGTAGGTAGCACTGCAGGAGGAAAGGGTTCCCTGGCTGGACTTGGCCTTACTTGGTGGGGTCTGATGGGCCAGGTCAGGCGGGGGCCGCAGAAGGATGCAAGGGAAGGGGCTGTGAAGATGGACACGGGGGAAAGAGGGCTGCAGGCGTTTGGGTTCCGGAATCCATGCTCTCCACAAACCACCACTGGGACCAAAATCTTAATGGCCATGCTCAAAGCCACCCTCATCCTCCACCACTCCCGACCAATGGCTGCCCTGGCCCCAGGGATTCCCTCACTGTGTGCCCCAGTTCCCTCCTAACCCTGCTGAACCCAAGCTGCTTTTCTGAAAGGCGCGCATGGTCAGCCCTCCATGAAGAGCCTGGAGGCTGCACAGCCCCCTTGAGCTCAGGCTCCCCCATCTCCCATTGCTGAGCAGCAGGCACACATATGGGGTGTCAAGGGACTGGCCTCCAACCTCCCCACGCCATGCCCCCATGCCTCTCCCAGCCCATGCTTGCACCATCCGGGGGAAGGTGCCCAGAGGGCTTTGCCAGATGGCAGGGAGCCAGCCCAGGTACAGGGGTGAGACTCATGGTTCCCTGCCCATGCACACTAGTGCGGCTGGGTGCTCAGCCTTCCCAGCTCAGGCTCCACTGCCCGGCTCACAGCAGCACCACACCACAGCCCTGGACAGGCCTCCTTCCCCTCCTGGAAGGGCAGGTGTAAATGCCCACCTGTGGGCTATGTCATTTAACACATGGCTTCAGTGGCTGTCACTTAGGCCTGCAGTGTGCAAAAACAGCTGCAACCCCAATGCTGTTGACTCCGCATGCAAAGTCACCAAAGGCCTGAGAGCCCCAGGAGGCCTGCACTCCCTCGGGCTCCCGCATATGTCCGGGGTGAGGCCTCCCATGGCAAACAGAACCTCCTCACTTCTCGGCTCCCTTCTCTCCTTCCCAGAGCTCCTGCCTCCCAAAGACCCCTGCCCCACATCCAATCCAACAGCAATCCTGTGCCTTCGCAGCCCCCAGCAGATACAACCTCCTGGGCGTCTTCTGATCATCTGCCAGCCCCTCACCCACTCCCCTGGACACCGCTGGGCTCTCTGAGAACCCTGGTTCTACCCGCAGATAGAGCA